GTAGGATACATCAAACACAAAAAAACATGGAACGAGATTAAAAATTATCTCCACTTTTTTGAATGATATTCGTTCGAGCATTTTTATCCCTCTTCCTCATCCCATATTTTTTCATCCGGCACGATCCGTTCACCATTTCTCTCGTCGAAATTTCTCCTTTTAAGCTCGATATCCTTTACATTAATCTCATCGTCATCCAACTCATCCTTTAATCCTCTAACCCAAGTGTCGTCTTTGAACTTTGTGAACCCGTTCCCTTATTCGTGGAACGAATCGCGTTTAAAATAATCACCCATCAATCGACGCTTGTCATTGTAACACGATTCCTACTTTAATCTCCAAGACCTTTTCCAAGATATCCCTCTTCACGTTCAAAAAAAAAAAAAAAAAAAAAAAAAGAAAGAAAAATGTTGAACACATTCTGAAAATTCATTTTCGATTTTACGAGAAAACATTTCTCTCCACGATTTCGTTGTGTATTTGTTCAACAATTAAAATAAATCATCTTTACGAAGAATAAAAGATTCTTCGTCTCTTTCACGTAACCATATACTGCTTCTTAATTATCAAAGAAGCCTTAAACTTTAAATCCTTCGTATCTCCTCTTATTCTCGTGTTTATTTTTCTTTATCTCAGTGGTTCTCAACTTCTTCATTCAAAGTAAAATTCTTTCTCCCGAGTTAATCTCTTGATAAAAGTCAAATTAATTTATTTCGCATAAATTTGACGCATATATAATGAACACAAGACTTTTATTAAAATGTTAGGATTTTGCCCCTATTTGATCAAAGAAATAACGAAGCCAATTTCCACATTTTAAATTATCCTAGAGGATCGAAATAATGGCATACGTCGATATTGATAATAATATTTGTACAACGATAAATTTTATACAATACATCTCAAGTCTCATTAATGATAATCTGACTGGTGTTGAGAACCTCTGTCACAATCGATTACATACACAGAATCTATTATCCAATGTTTCATCCATCGTTAAAATACGATGATCTTCCTCCTTCTATCCACTCTTCAACTTAAAACGAGAAACAATCGCAAAAAAGAAGTCTATTTTATGGTCGATGCATATTTCACGTGACTTTGTACGATCCGTTAGATTTGCATGCATTTTTAACGACAGGGCGCGTATACCGGTGTGCAATTTCGCTAATGGAAACACGTATAAATTCACGATGTAACGCGGCGTCGTTATAATTTTGATGACGCGGCGCAATTCAATTTAGGTTTACACTTAGGTGCCCTCTATATCAACTATTGGAGATCTAACGTAAAGTGAATAGCAATGCTATTCAAGTATATATAATAACAAGATCTCGTTTCGCATGGATTCGTGAATACATCACGCACATTATACCGTTATAAATTAACGGATAGGAATTTGTGTAGCGGCGTCAACAGATGGATGAAATGACAGGTGATTAATGGAATATGGATTTGAATAATTATTTCGATGTAATCGATCATTTATTTGTTTATTCGTCTGGATTATTATAATTATTATTATCGTAATATCAAGACCACCATGTACGAATAAAATGGAAATAAATAACGATAAAGAGTCAAGGGACACCGTGGCTCGAGGGATAGAGCCCTAGATTTTAAATCGAAAGATCGTGAGTTCGAATCTCACTATGACAGTCCATCATTTTTTCCTCGATTTCTGATCATTTATTCGTTAGAAAAGAAAATGAAATTTCTCTCCAATCATATCTCGATTTTTCATTAAGAATATTAGGAATTTCGTTTAAAATGAAATTTTATATTTGTCGATATCCTCGTTATGTATCGATTCTTATATAATCCCCTTTTTCCTTCCCCATCGTCTATACTTAATTTATCTTAATTAATTGTAAAATCACATCGAGATCGCGAAACGAGAATTAGTCTCGATTCCAATTAAGAACTCCGGAAGCTAGTTAACCAAAGAGATCTCTCAAACAGGATTTGTTAAACTATCAAAAGTTTTGGAGATCGACGAAGATCGCGGCACAACAGTATTATATATATCTCTCTCACTTGCTGAAGGGGTGTTTAATTTGCTACGAAGCTAGAATCTCTCTCTCTCTCTGTCTCTCTCTATATATATATAACTTCGATTTCAAATCGAAGATCCGATCCGAAGATTGTTCTGCGAGCGGGAACTTCGAAAAGAGGAAATTCGCGTTAAATCTCTCTCTCGATCGGATTCGTGTTTCGTGAGATGAAAGAGAGAGATAGATATAATAATATACATGAAGATTAATAATATCTTGGAAACCTAAATTCCAAGCGAAGTGTTGTACGCCGGTGAAATTTCGATCGAGCATCGTTCACCTGGCCCACTCTAACTTAACAACCCGACGAACTAATTCCTTCCCCTCGATTTTCCAGCGAGGAGTGTGTTTGATCCTCGCTTATTAATCCGATAATAAGAATCTGATCGGAAATGAGGGGATGGAGAGAGAGAGAGAGAGCGGTTTACGAGATTGTTAGAGGGAAATTTCGAGCCGCGATTAGAGATTAGACTAGAAATTCGTATAAAGTTTCTAGGAATTTAATAATTAACCATGGCGTTAGAAATTGGAAATAAAATCGATACCGTTGGAATCGAAAATGTTCCTGGAATATTTTCCAAAGATATCCCGTTATTCGAGGACATCGTTGTCCTATTCCACGATGATTTGTAAAGGAACAATGGCGGCTGCCCGAACAATATAAAGTCTTCTACCGATCGTAGACGGTTAGATGTAGTATTGTGCAAGATTCAGATAAGGAGGTGTGACAGAACGGAGTTGTTGAAGCTTGCGACAAGAGAGACGAGAAGGGTTGGTGAAGCGGATGAATAATTCATTTTAACTCGAGGCCGAATTTTCTCAGCCGAATTAACATTTGCGAAACTTTGTGTCTCTTTGGTCTCTCAACGTACTTTGCCTTTCACGATCGAGAAATATATACATATATCAAAACTATCCTCTATCCATTCAGCCATCCAAACACATTTGATCACGTGTTCAAACTGTACGAATAAATTTTTCAATCTATTTTTCATCGTCCAATGGTTACAATTTATATTTGAATCGAGTGGAATAACGTTAGATTTTATATCGTTTATATCGTTTAAATAACGATAGAAAGAAGGGCAAATTGCAGAAACCGAGTTTTCCCCTTAATTGCGAGTATATCTTCGAGTTTCCACGACTTTTCAATCTCAAACATTTAATCATCAATGTCGAGCAAAGATACCGATTTAACGGTTTCAGGGAATGGAGAAGTTTCGCAACGAATTCCTCGCGACAAACTTGCTCATCTATTAATAATTCAATATGGTTGTTCCATCGAAGAATCTTTACCTCGTCTCGTTATAATTCTATATAAATGTATAACGCCGATTTAAACTCGCCTCCTTCGTGGTATACATTTCATTTCATCCATAAAATAAATATAATATCGATACGTAGATATAAATAATTATACTTAATGTCGTTGTTCGTAGAATAAATCGATCGAGTTAAGATTGATCAACGATGGACGAAAAATTCATTTTCAATGGAACTGTGATGCAACGGCTGTCTCTTTCTACTTTTTTTTTTTTTTTTTTTTTTTTCATTGACAATCCAGTGACGAGACGTGGATTGGCACGATGACTGTTCCGGGTGCAAATGCAAATCGGTTGCACGATGTAAATCGGGCGAAAATAATGTCAACTGTGACTGATCGTGTCCACAGATCGATAATCGGATAAAGGAATATCACCACAAGCGTCACACGTCTAATATTTCAAATATATATGTGTGTGTGTGTATATACACGTACGTATTCAAAATTATTAATATCCGTAGTCGCATCTGGTTGGAAACGTTTGAATATATGTATCTAAAATATGATAGAATAATCTTGTCGTTTAAAATTGTTGCTTCTTTTCTTTTTCTTTTTCTTTTTTTTTTTATATCTAAATTATTTGTGCAACAGATATAAGGAAAATTTAAATAATTTTAAAATTTTATAAATAGAGAGACATTGATTATGTTGAAAAATAAATAAATGTTAAAAATTTTAATAATTTTGCGATTAAATAGGGAGATATATGGAAGACGTAATTGTATTAAAAATAAGTAATAAAAATTCAAAAGTTTGAATAATTCTTTTTGAATAAAAATATTGCAATGATGCAATACGTGATGAATAAATACCAAAAATCGTCGATTACATTTCTCTGAGAGTTGCAATTGATAATTGGATTAGAAACCAGTGATATAATAAAATGTTGTATAACGTTATATTTTACGTTATATTTTAAAGAAGATTTTCAAAGAGTAGAGAGAAATAAGAGGTGAAAATTATTCACGGTGACGAATAAATTTTCGTTATTAAATTCGATAAATTTTTCTTCTACGATGAATAGAATTTTAAGAGGGAGTTTTCGAAACACTGGATTCTATTTGACAATATTCAATATTCGTGGAAATATCGAGCAATGATATAAATTTTTCGAAAAATTTGAACGCGTTTTATTGATTTCGAAGAAATAATCTTAATCCCTCCGATACGAGACGAGATTATATATAAATTATGGGAATAATCCTTAAGAGGATATCCCTTACGATTTAATAATTTCGTTATAATTAATCTTATTCTAATATTATCAAATATTTAATCCTAATAATACGAAATATATTGAAATTATTGTAACGTGATATAACAATATAATATCGTATCAATAATTATTCAACAGCTTCTCGAGAATCGCTTTGATAAAAAATTAATAACTTCGTCCCAAACATTGTTAAAGATTTTTCTCGTTTATTCGATTCCAAACCATTCTCTCTCCCTCTTTTAGCATTCCAGTTATATCGTTGTTCTCTCGAACCATCGATACTCCCCCATTAAAGTTTCTCCCCTCCCCTTCGAACTACTTCAAAATATGCAGAATTATTCTTCTTCAACTCGTAGTTGAACCAAACTCTTTGTTTAAAGAAGAGTTAAACCTTGCATTTTCTTACCTTATCGCTAAGCTGGATGATGATAACAACGATAATGCACCTGGAATCAAAAAGGAAATAACAACAATAATAATAATCGCGATATTATGATATTATTATTCGAGCTACGAAAATTTCTACGATACTTTTCTCACACGTTCTAATCTAATCATTCTCCATTTTTCTCCAGAGATGATTACGATCGCTCTCCGTCCTTCCATGATATTAAATTCAACATCTTCGTATCCAAAATGAACGTATCATAAATGAATAAATCTTTTTTTTTAAATAAAAAAAAAAGAAACCATCGTCGTCACAAGTCATTACCATAATCCCTCGCCTCACTGCGGAAAGAGGTGCATCTTCGAAGATTTTTCTCCAAGGAGGTTAAATTCGTAAGAAAGGTCGTTTCAAGAGCAAAGCATCCATCCACTTCAAATTCCTCCCATCATCCACCAGCTACACCATTTTTCGCTTTTCGTGATCACTGTCTCGATTCGAATTCCGATCCAACAACAGACCGCCCCCTTTTATATTCGGGAATAAATTTCTCTCTCTCTCTCGTTACTTTTCCTCCTCGATAAATGTATTACCCCTTCCTTTTTTCTCTCTTCCTTTTTTCAGAAAAAGCATTACACCGAATGGAATATTATATTATAACGATCTCTCTATGAAGCTGAAAAAAGAGCGCGTTGAATTAAAAAAGGAAGGGAAAATTCATCTCGCTTGATTAATCCGTCGTTTTTTCTTTTCCTTTTCTCTCTTCTTTTTTTTTTTTTTTTTCGTTCGGTCGAACACCTTCGATAGATGAAATTAAAAGTGGATAGATAGGGTTGGTTAATTTAAAAGGTGGATAAAGGTTTTAATTATCGAGAATGTAAATATGAATATCAGGTTTATTTAATGAATTTTCTAGGATCGGGGAGAATTAATGAACGAAGGGTGATTCTCGTTGAATTATCGAGAATGAGGGGGAGAGGTAGGAAGGAACGTTGGAATGAGAGACTGATTTGCTGATTCGATGCTGTTACGATTATTTAGGAGGAGATTCACGTTGCGTGCGAGCGAATGGAACGTGGAGGATTATGAAACACGGCACGAAATAAATTAGATAGCGATATGGAACGCGTGCGAAAAATTTCATAAATTGGATCTTTTAGCTTCTCGTTCCGGTTAATTAATAATTAGAATCGGAGAATGTAGAATGTTTTCAAAAACGTGGATGGATCTACGGCGAAATTATTAAACGAGAAAAGTTAAATCCGACGATTATTCGACAAAAATTCACTTCACTTTTCCTCTAATATCCACTCTCCTTTCTTTTACATTTTAATTCATATAGTTTACAGGTAGAAAAATATTCCTTCGTCGATACGTACTCGATACTTTCCTTTCCGTTCTCACGTTCTATTCGCGTGATCCAAGAAAATAATTCATTTTTTCATCATCGAAAATTTCTTCTTTTCTCAAAACAATTCTTCTCCTCTCACCTCTCCTTCTTCTTCTCTTCTCTCGCGTTCCAACATTCGTTGTCTCGACAAATTTGACCCGCGCCGCCAGTAAAAATCCATCGACGCGTCCACCGCGGAATTCGCGAAATTCGATCGTTTCGAAGCGCGGCCGACAACGGCTCGAAGCCCGATTATCTCGAGTTTGTTGAAAACGGTGTATTCGCGCGGCAAACTCGGCCCACTTTACGCCGAAAACGAAAGAATCGCAAGATCCGTCGCAAACGATTCCTCGTCGAAACGCGCGAGCCAATCCCTTCCTCGTCTTCCCTCCTCGAATTTTCGTCGGGCGAAACCGAGCCTCGAAGCGATATTCCCTCGTCGAACGGCGTTTCAAAGCGAACGATTCCCGCTGGAAATCGGGCGACGTTTCACGAGGCCGCCTCGAACCGTCGCCAATTTCGTGTTAATCACGTTAACGATGCTAATATTTGCTTTTTGGCTGCAACATATCTAATGGTGTAAAATATGTTATAATACAATCAGCACCCGCTCTTCTCATTGATAAAAGAACTTCTTTTAAAACGTTTTCTAAGTTTATTGCACCATTTTGAGCACCGCGATAAAGCGTAGCATATTCTCTTGAAACTTGATATCGACAAACATCGGATATTCTTTGCACTTCGCGTGGCGAAGAGTGGGAAAAAATTAGTTTCGCGTGAAAAGAAGAGCGAAAATAAGGGAGAAACTCGTTGATCCTGTCCTCCTCCACGTGGCGATCCATCGAAAATTTCGGAAAATTCGAAATTCCTTTCGAAACCTTTCCGATCTAAAAGCTTGTTATCTCGAATTGGCGAGGGAAAAGATCAGTTCTTCTCTTCGACTTCTTTTTCAAAATACGTCTCCTTCTCCAATGGAAACTTTATGCGTTGATTTTTCCTTGATAGAAGTTGTTGTATTTTCGACATTATCGAGGAATCGATTAATATTCTTAATAATAAAAGCGGCAATTAATTTTCTTGTTTTCGAAGAAAATGTATTAATCAATTGTCAATTATTAATTATATTAAGAGGTTTTTTATAGACGAAGATCCGGGAGATATTTTCTATCCTTTCCTAAAGTTTCACTTTTTCATTTTTCATGCCTTCTCTCATTATCAGGGAGATAATAATCGTTTTTGCAAAAATGAATAATACACGATGTAAGAAAGAATATATCAAATAAAGGAAATAAAACTACGCACAGATGCGAATCGTGTCGATGCCTTCGTTATACTGAGCTCGCTGTGTCGCGTTCCCCTTCAAAATGGGGGGGAAAACAAAACAGAATCGAAACAGCGATCGCGTCCAATGACGCCCAATTCGTATAAATATACGAGTCGCACGTGTCTTGAATAAACTTTACGAATATATATATATAATATATAAACTCGACACTTTTTGAATAAACGAAGCAAATAATTTTTCGTACAGCGAATAATATGAAGAAGAAATTAGTTTTTTATGTTTTATAGACGAAGATCCGGAAGATATTCTCTTTTTTTAAAGTGGCAATCCATCGAAAATTTCGGAAAATTCGAAATTCCTTTCGAAGCCTCTCCGACCTAAAAGCCTATTATCTCGAATTTCCTCGAACACCGGCGAGCCTTGGCCGTCGTTCCTCCGTTATAATAATTATCGATCGGTCGGGAGTTAAACGAACGTCGACGGGGATTGCATCGTTGCCTGTTTGTTGCCTCGTGGATGGCCAGTTCCGCTTGGTTGAATCGGATCAACCCCTCCAACGAATATTTATTTATTCGACGACGCATAGGGGGAGGAAAGTGGGAGAATCGATTCGATTTCAGCTCGAAAAACGGTTAATCTCTTCCTTCTTTTCTGATTTGTGGGATCGGCTTTCTACTTCGAGATCAATTCATACGTTCAACAAATTTGAAGAATGTATTATTCTGTTTCCAAGGAGCAGTTAGTTAGAGATCAGGTTGAGCGTAATTTTAAATTAGAAAAGTGACGTCTATAAACTGACGTTTATAACAGTTTTTAACTTTGTAAAAACTGCAACGATGATAATTCAAACAAGTGGAAATTTTTAATTTTTTTCATTTTTCTAATATGGGTTTATTTATAGAGGGTGAAAATAGAAACTGGTTCTTGAGAAAAATGTTATGAGCGAACAAACATTCGATGGAATTTCGAAGTAAATGTTGTCGATGCGTGTCAACAAATTCTCAAATATCTACGAAATGATTTAAAGACCACAATGCACGATTACATAAATTATTTCTGCACTCGGAGAACCGATATTTCTCCTCCCAATATTTCCGTTCCTCCTATTTCTCACATTTTTTTCCCCTTCCTCTATTTTTCCCCCATTTTTCTCCCTCCCCCCTCCCCTCCTCCCTCCATTTTTCACGGATCGTTCCTTTGCGCCGAGGGAAGGCCAGCGCTCGTTAGCACAGGAAATATTAATTTTCCGCGACGCGGAAGGATCCTGGTGAATAACAGATACGGTTTCCGCACCGTTTTCGGATGCGAGAACGAGCGTTTCAAGTCGTGCGCCACGGATGTTCAATGGCCGACCAACCCTCGTCGAGACGTAATAATTCGACGATGAATGATTCGAAGCCACGAGTCGTCGTCGAAGATCGTGAATTGTAACGCGGTCTTTCACTCGGTGGACGTCGTTGGCAATCTCTTTCCAACGAATTTGATCTTTTCTGACGAAATTATAATACTCCAAGATGGATCGTAAAGTGGATTTCGATGAAAGAGAGAGAGAGAGAGAGAAAAGTGGAAAAGAGAGGGAAATGTATCGATAATATAGTGATTTTAGTAATATTTTTTGGTAACGGTGGATTAAATGGAAGGAGGATCGAATAAAAGAGTTTAACATTGAAAATTACTCGTTTCCTGGATCAAAAATTTTCAAATTATTCGAATGAAAAGAAGAATCTATAAACTATTTAATTATTACTTATTATCACGCGACACAGACTTCCAATCCATCAAAATCACTCGACTTTTCGTTCTATGGATCTAGAAACGCAATATCTGCGGGGGCAAAAATAGTCCCATTCGCTTTATATTTCGCAGAAAGAACGAGAAACCACGAAATATATACACGAATAAAATTCTCATTTACAATATTTCAGTGAAAAAGAAAATCTATTGAAAGATACAACCTCGATCGATATCACACGAACGAACCTAACCTATAAACTTAACCTAACCTAACTTTCCACGTGAAAACCAATATCGTGATCGTGAAACGCAATATCTGCGGACAAGATACT